AACGCTCAAATTGAACTTTAATATGAAGATTTAAATGATTTGCAATCCAACTGAACTAAACAATCTTAAGCCCTTCACAAAAGGAATGGTCATGCCACAAAATGTTGATTGCTGTCTAATCTCTGGCTATGAGTTATGGCTACATTAAATTATAGTACATAATAAAGTAATGTCTGTAATGTCTTTCTCTAATCAGAAACATTAAGATGTCATACCTGAGGTGACGGTGACCATGGTGCCTTTTCCCCAGTAGTCAAAAGCGTAGTCACAGTTCGACAAATGATCCACCACTGCATAAAAAACCTGTTCCCAGATATCTACACTTTCTGAGGTTGGTTATCTAATAATTTACCCTCCGACATATTTACCGTGACTTTCTTACAGAAGGGTTCAGAAGATGTAACTAAATATGATTTTAAACACCAGAGTTTAAACACATTCTACCAATTTTAAACATGTATCATACCTTATCCCAGAAATGAAAGAAATACAATCACAACTTCATTGCTACAACAATTCCAATGTAGTTTATAATTCTAAATCTTGACATTAGAGAAAGATAAATAAGAGCAGCTTACCTGATGTGACTGTTACCATGGTGCCTTTCCCCCAGTAATCAAAAGCACCATCACAGTGTGATAAGACATTACAGCCAAAGTGCAAAAACAAGCACTTAAAGACACCTTTGATGCCACTGAGGTCTAAATATTCAATATTACCCAGGCCAGTTCTATTGTCCATATGAAGACAAAGTCTGTTTTACCTGCTTAGCTGAGATGATCATTATTGTTACTTTTACCCTGTAATTAGTGACCTTTTTAATGCAAACATATTCAACAGCTTTTTTCATCGAATAAATGATTGTACTTATCCACTAAACCAGTGGATATATCTACCATATAGCCTCATCTCTTTGCTCTTCTACTTGGATTTACTCTTATTTACCTTTACAACAAATTTGAAATCAACATAAATTTCATAATAAACCCGTGAAAATACAGAATAGACTTCAATCATAATAAATGTGTTAATTACTCACCAGAAGTCACTGTGACTTGTGTTCCTTTCCCCCAGTAGTCAAAGTAGTCATCACAGTGATATATTCCAACGTGCTTCTAATACAAATAGTCATTTAAACCAGGGATCATGTTTTAATGGCAAAGCAATTCCCTCTGGACTACCACGTCCCTTGAGACGCATTTCCTGTGGTCTGGGTTATATAAAATATGAGTATGAGTTGACAACAGTTAGGCAACACTTCCTCTGTATCAGACCCGTCAGCTCCAGTTCCTGCTGCATCGAATTGATTCAGTTAAAACACTTTTACCCTGTTAACTAGCATTTAAACACTTTAACAAAATATAAAAGTTAACATAATTTATTTTAACTTCATTTCATAAAGTACCATATTGTGCTGTCATTATCTTATGTATGGCTGCGTGAAAGAGGAAAATTTGATACAAACTAATTGAAGTCTTACACACCTCCTGATAGTTGGTTGTTAATGAATTACAAATAAATGTTAATTCAACTGCTGGATACTTCAATACAAATGGGACTAAATTATAGCGCAAATTAAACGCTATCGTGATGTCATAGACCTTTGCAGGAGGAAATTCTCTCTAACTGGACCTCGCTGAAATTTAATAAAATAACTACTTATTTTTGTTTGGAACACATGTTGGGTCGTCGTGGCGCAGGGGGTAGAGCGCTGGGAACTGCAAGGTTGGCGGTTTGAGTCCCGGCTGCCCCATGTCTCAAGTCGAAGTGTCCCTGAGCAGGACACCTAACCCCTAATTGCTCCCCGGCCAAAATGTAAAAAAAAGAAAAGCCATGGGTTCAACGTGTAATGTAAGTTGCTTTGGATAGAAGCTTCAGCTAAATGACCTGTAATGTTGTATTTTTTAGTTTTCAACACCAAAACCAGGTTCAATTTGTTTTTTTCAAATGCTAAAAACCTTTGGCCTGGATTTGGTTCGTAATTCTTAAATCTTGATTCCCAGCTGACAAACCTGACGCTAATGGATTAAAGCCAAGACACAGTAACTGTATTATGAAAGCTAATGTAGACAAGTCATAGTTCATCTCTAATCTTTATGTTGCTATGGTAACATCTCTGTCAAACAAGTGTGTGTTCTTTTGCTCATCTTACAATATTAATTTTCACTAACTATTAACGGAGCCTGAACGCATCAATACGTACCTGAAGGGAACCTTAAGAGTTTTAGCTGTTAGTGTTGCTTATAATGTTACATCATCAGACATGAGCATCAATGCCAATGACCTGATTGTTTTACTGAATATTGGTAACATGTTTATATGAAAATATATTCTTTTCTTTTTGATACAAATCCTTTTCACCGGCATTATTTTGTGTAACTTATTGTCATGTTACTTTTGTCAATGCTGTGGTCTAAAGTTACAGTTTGTTAACAGGCTGTGGAAGCACCTGTTTCCTGTGTTACATCAATATTAACCAGTATGCATGTTATGATCACAACTCAAAAACGTGCAGACATTTTCATTTTTCTTTGGATAGCTTTTCTTATTATAGTCCAACTGTTGGACAACAATATGTGTGCTTGTACAGATGTACTTTTAAAATAATGGATTGTAAAAAAGTGTGACCAGAATCTCACATTTGAAACATACTTCATATAAACTGACATCAAAGTAGTCACAGATCTGTGTTTGTATGATTGTTTGTCAGAATGAAGGGAAAAACCGAAAAACACACAATCCACATTAAATTGATGTTCCACTTGTCCACTTATCAGTTATTTCAATGAAACACACTCGTAGTTAATGTTATTGCTTTACATTGTGCAGTCCAGCTATGGACCAATGACTCCCCACAGTATGTGGATTTATCTTCACTGATACAAAGAAAAAGAACAATAATAATGTGCTGTAAAATGATGTTCCCTGAATTTTAATGAGAAATAACTGCTGTATGTGATGACAAGGTGATGGATTATTTAAACAATCTTTTTCAGGCATATCACCAAAGTGGATAATTATTTGCATCAAATTAACTGTAAGTAGTCAGTATTCCCTCATTTGTTTTTCAGTATGTGAAATATATTATCCTCGATGATACACAAAGGAACTTTTCCGAGGTGTTGTGATTTTTAAGCTGAAACTGAAAAAAATAGAATTTCAAATGTTTGCTTCCTTCCACCAGATCTTTGAATTCAACCTTTCTTGAGAGTAGTGATTTTGTGATGTGAGCTTCTCTTCTTTTGGAGTCACTACGCCTCAGTTCCGTTCATGGCAGGTTTTTGTATGGAGCCACATCACTGTGTCCCCCCATACACAGTACAACATGCTCGTACAAAAACCACCCACTGATATGTAGCTTTGCTCATTCTTGTACAGTGTACTCAGCGGGGGAAATCATGGAACATGGTGAGCGTTATGTACCATTGTATTATAAATTATACCCTCTAACATCTAAAAGTTGTTGCTTTGTTTTGTTTTTGATTATTTGTATCTTTCTCCTCACTTTTCCTAAAACACTTTTTTTTATCTGAACAAGACTGGCCAACAGGCAGTAGAAAGAAGTATAATTTATTACTTGTTTATCAGCACCGTGCATAAACAACTACACCAAAAAGGAGAATCCATTCCAAAGAGAATTCATTTTTTCCATTTCAATGTAAGTTTTTTTCAATTGTATAATAATATATATTTTGAAATGGTAGTTTTACAGAATAAAAAAAAAGATATATATAGTTATATAAATTATGCGGTAAAACCTTGTAATTTGGATGAGAAATAAAACATGGCATAAAAAAAGGCTCTCACAGGGTAGTAATGATACATATTTCATAGCCAATGTATTTGTACCAGGCATTCCAAAGGTTGGGTGCTACAAGCGAGTACTGTATTGGTTCTATGAAAACACTGCGCGGTTATTTATTAAGTCTTCAAAGTTCTGCATATTGAGTATTTCAGTTACTTGGTCTCACTGTGTTTCAATGAAGCCACAACTACATACGAGTGTTTATATGCATAAACATGTTTTCAACATACATTTTACAGACCTTTGCATCTCTTTTTCAGGTTTTTAAAACGTTCTGAAACGTTGTGGCTACTCCAGTACACAATGAAACATCACTTTGCAAAGAACTATCCATTTTTAAAATATAATTTAAAATCACTTATTGTTGGATTATAATGACCACAGTAGAACCACAAATATTGTTTCATAAATGGCTGCAGAGTCTAATCAGTATTCTCAAGGAGTCAACGCTTTTTTATTAACACATATTGCAGTTTAATTGACTTGGATTAGATTATATAACTGTGACATTGTACATGCTGTGTCCGTTTTTAAAAGGAGAGCTGCAGCTAAGAGGACAGACGAGTCTCTGGTTTTTGTTATGGAGTGTCACACTGTGCCATAACTCCAGCTAGCATCAACACAGTGATACAAACACTGACCAAAACCTACCAAACCTCCAAGAGGCTGCAAGTTGTTTGTCAGGAAAATGAAACGTTTCAAACTGAATAGGTTTAGAGATCAGAGAAACAGAGAGATTATGTATTTTGAATACACCATTGTACTTTTAATTATTGTAACATAATAGAAGAGCATAGATACAGTGGAAGGGTCATGTGATTGAATCTGGTCCTTTCCATTTCCTTCACAAGATGGCAGTGTTCGTTCTTTTCTGACTTCTGCTGATGAGCTGGCGTTAAATAATGTCCCTCCAGCACATCGACAAGCTGGGGTTCTGAAAGGTTTTATGACAATTGGTAGCTTTCACTCAAGCACTGAGAGTAGGGACAGATGTGCACATGCTGAGTCATGAACTGACAAATAACTATGAAGAATGAACACACAGTTCAGAAGAAGTTGGTCATCTATCGTTCCCATGTAGTTCAAGCTGTGTAAGACTTATTCCACATGTACACAACATATAAAGTAGGTGTGCATACTTCATGTTGTTATTAATGAATGTTTACAATTAAATAAAGGATAATACACTAAAATATATGAATCCTTCAAAATAGCTGTCATTTTATTCATATATATATTTACATATTTCATGAAAGAATAATTTGAATAAATGATACAATTAATGTGCCTAAAAGCAACACATTTTGTTGACACTCTTACATGCATCAGTGTTTCTTCATGAATTCCTCTGCTGTATCTTCATTCAGGTGCAACTTCCCAAGTAATATTTTAACTGCCATACAATTTGAAGATGGACTCTTCATGTTCTTACAATATATATTTCTAACCCTGCATGTAATGTCACAGATCTTTTGCATGTAAGCCACATATTGCCTTGTTGTATGCTGACATGCAAATACATGCAGGGGAAGATGGCTCTCTTGTTTTGAGGAAGCTTATTTGTAGCTCTGTAGTTTCACTACAACAGGTGTGGGGTCCCTGAGGTGGACAATGAGGGGGGGGGGACTCTCTAAAGATGATATGTTTAGAAATGAAACCCACAAAATAACTGTCGAAGTTTTCTTGTATGCTTGTATGTGTCTGTCCATACCACTGTAAATATTATATCTGTTAAATGTGTTTAAAGCAAATTGTTCAACATAATGACATCAGACAAAGTTACAAACATCTCAACTACAGTGCAATTTGATATTTATGTGGCAATGAACATTTGTAAAACTTTACCAACACATAATATTTAAGTTTTCAAGAAAGTGAATGTACAACATTTCTATTCATAATGCAAGAACAGAAGCCAATGCAGGGAATCTATTCATCTAAATGACTACCAATTACAATTGTATCTTTTATTTGGTACAGGTCACAGAAAAATCTATTTTGAGTGACATAGTTAAATAAAAATATGTATATAATGATCATTAAAACTAGCACACAATTAAATGTTTTTAAAACCAGAAAAAATACTTAGAAGACAAATGAAGACGTGAAGTCCATGTTATGCATCAATCTCATCTCATGGCCTCTTCATCTGGAAACACAAACAAAAGAAGTATATGTTATATTGATTGTTCAGATACAAATGATCAAACAGTGATGAAGTTTGATTGTTACTTTAGTTTAGATATCTACACAGCTGGAGAATTATTTTCCCCACAACAGAATGGCTTTGGCCCTGAACCTTTCTGCAGGGCAAGTCTGTTCTGTAACCATGAGAATGACCATACTTAAACATGCCATCTGTGTAGCGTGTTGCAGCATTTAAAACACACAAAGCAGCACGTTGTCTGTGCCTGGAGAGGTTCTTCACTCTGCTGCTGCTAAATGTGGATCAGGCACATGTGCTGATTGCACATGGAAACATAAGTTCTGTTCACTGAAAGTGATGCAATTCTAAACCACAAACAAAGTCACAGGTTTGTTGTTACCAGATGGATCAATAATCAGAAAATCACAAATCAGAATAATTTTCTTTCCATTAGCAGATAAGATATTTGCTGATAAGCAATTACATAAGTACTTTATATTTCTTTTTTGTCTCTCTAGTTAAATGTCATTTCAAGACTTATTGATGCCATCATTTTCATCACTTAGTCTCCCTTTTTGGGATCATTCTAATAACTTTAGCAGTAAAACAATGACCATATTCAGTGAATCTATGAATCCTGTATCATCTCTTCTACTTTCTTAAGTTGTCAGTGCAGCTGAAATAGAGAGAAAGTCTACATGTTTACCTTGACCAGGCTGAATACCATGCTGTAAATGAGAGAGGATATGAAGAGGAATATGAAGGAGGAGGTGGTGGACCACAGGCTGCTGTACTCGTCCTCATCAATGGCATCATCTGTGCAGCTCATAGCGACACGCAGTTTAAAAGCTGGAATAGAATTTAAGAAGAGGAGGGTGTGGGTGGGTTAGATGTGTGTGTCTGTGTGTGTGTGTGTGTGTGTGTGTGTGTGTGTGTGTGTGTGTGTGTGTGTGTGTGTGAACAAAGGTAACATATAGATGCCCATTTCTCACTTGAATAGTGCTCATAAACTTAAATCAAGCATTATTCACTCTCCACATATGTTGTGTTGATCTATCTGAACAGTGGAAGAGAGAAGTCTACCAGGTATCAGATAAAAGCTCTGTTTCAGAATATTGAAGTCATGCATGAACATATAACAACGTTGTTTCATGCAACATTTATTTGAAACAGTCAGCACATTTATCAAGCTCTTGGACGATGTGACAAAGACAGATTAAAACACAATACGATGACAAACCAAAGTGAATTGACGAACTGGCTGTTACGTTTACAATCACAAAGACGGGTTCCATGACAGAGAGGACACAGACATGACAGCACACTAGCACAAAATGACACACATAGAACTGAATTAGTTACGATTCCTTACATTGAGTTGATCTAAACACCATCTTAGACACATCTCTCTGCGTTTTGCCACCAGGCCACACCTTGCAGGTGAACTTGACGTCATTGTTCCACTTTTTCAAGGAGGTGGTGTAAAGACTCGTAACTGAGTAGCGCTCATCAGTCTTCATAGAGGGGAAGTCGATGCCATCGTTATAGACGCTGACATTCGATCCATTTTCTTCTAACCAGGCGATGTAGAAATCCTGCGGTTCCCGGCTAGAGACCAGACACAACAGAGTGACCTCAGCTCCATCCTTGACGTCTTCCTCTGGGAGGACGTGGACGGTTACTTTTGGTTCATTATCTGAAAGAGAAACTCTCCTTAGTGAACAAGGTCAGATTCAAGTTTTGCGTTTACTAAACTTAGTTAATGTTTTGTATGTGTAAACGGTCTTTCTCCTCAGACTCACAGATTACTAATCATTTAGTAACATACCTCCTTTGTTGATATGCAGATCTTTAGAAACGTGTGTTTTTGGGCCCTTAGCAGAACAACGCACGTTGTCGATTGTCTGCCATTCAGAGCGGTCGCGAGTCAACGTGCTGATTTTGCTCCCTGTGGAGTCTGTTGTTTCACTGCTGTTCTTCGTCACATCAGCTCCATTTATTTGCCAAGTGAATTTCATTTCATTTATGGTGTTCTGGTCCGGTCCATTAATCTTGCACTCAAACTTTGCCTGGTTGTTGATGAAAATGTCTTTGGGACTTCCCATGTTGGTTTCAGTGTCATTGTGATATTTCTTATCATAGAACAAGAGGCCTCTAATGGAGGAAAGAGCAGAAATATCCATCAGTCTACAGATCAGTCTGTAATAATTCATTTAAAACTTGAATGTAAAATTGGTCAGATTGGTTTAAACATATGAAACAGTAATTAATGAAAAACATTTTCTGTCTAAAAGATGAACTATAACACATATTTACTCTTAGACATACAGGCAGGGAGCTATGATTGTAAATAAAACATCACATACTTTTTCCCAAAGTCACACTTCTTGATCCTCCTGCGTGCGTCACAGAACATTCAAAAGAGTGCCTTAAATTCCAGTCAGACTTTGGTACTTTGAGCAAACTGACTCCCGTATATTTGTTGTTGTTCATAATTGAAGGATATTGATCAGAAGTCAGATCGGCTCCACATGCATTGGTCCACTGGAAAGTAAGACTCTTTGGGTAGTTGTGGTGTGCAAGACAACCGACGGTGACTTTATCACCGTCAGGTTCACACTTCACCAAAGGGAACAAAGTTGGTGATGTTGTTTCTGTGAAAGTGAAATTATACACACATCAGTTACTTTTCTGTAAGAGGATCATTAAAATGTTACATATAATTGTGTGATGAAGCTATAGGACTTTAGTGAATGATACTTCTGTAAGAAGAAAGAGCTTTTGATTATTTTTACTATATAAAGATACTGCATCTGAGTACAGTATATTCCTTGGAACTTGTGTGAATTAATGATCTGTTTTAATAATTCATCAATCATACAAAACATTTTTGCCATGTCTCGCTTTGGTGTGATACTTTTTGGGTAGCAGTCATTTAATACCCAAACATTTATATTCAGTCTAGGAGCTGACATGAGGAAAGGTAATATTTAGTAAAAAATAATACACATAAAAATATATATAATATAATAATATGTAATATAACCTCCGAGCTCATTGAAATGGAATATTTTGGCATATTCTTAATATTTTCCATACATTGTAAGCTATTCTTATCACGTCCTATTCATTTATTTAATATGCACTGCTTACGGTATAATATTGAAAAGGCTTTTGGTTATCGTTATAAGTGTAAATAAAAACAATTATTGTTGATGGATTTGAGCGTTTACGTTTTATTTTTAAAAGAAGAATACCAGTTGTTCTTTATAGGCATCTATACATATTTGTATGTATATTTATGTACAGCTAGCTATAAAGAAAACCTTATATGTATTTTAATTATACAGTCTAATCAATGGGAAAATGAATCACACTGAAATACTTTCTAAAAATATTAATTCAATAATGAAAATGTTTATCAGCCGAAATTTAAATTATTTTGATTACATTACGAACATTCACCTACATTAAGAGTTATTGCCAAACAATAACTTTTTTAAAGGCTTTCTAAGAACAACTGTATTAGAAACATCTGCCTGCTCTCTTTTCTGGTTTTTACATTTATGTAAACCGAAATAAGACATGATTTAAACTTCTCTACCGCTAATAATCACATGAATAACAAATATATAAACGTTTTAGTGAAAATACAATGTTTAAATGTGACTTACCTGACATTACTGTGACTTCAGTCCCCTTTCCCCAGTAGTCGAAGTAATCACAGTGATGCATCTCCTGTCACTGCCTCAACAAAAACCTGCCGTAGTAGATAAATACCTAAAAACCTAATTAAGGGATTGAAATACACAGAAAAACTGTTTAAAAATAATAACATGATTGTGTCTTGAGAGTTTTTCTTTTTTTTCTGATTCTTAACCAGTTCTGAAAGTTAATTTACAGGAAGATGACATTTACATCTGTGACTTTAATCTACTTATTAACTAACTTGTAATAACTAATATCCATCTAAAAGTGATAAACACAGTACTTACTCTACATTCTAGTTGAAAAACAGTCTGTCCTGTTGATTTATCACAATGAGAATGGGAGAGTTTACAGTTTTTGCTCTTAGGTTTTTGTATGGATGAATATCACAGTGCCCCATACGCCACACTGTGATAAACCCTGTTACAAAAACCTCAGTGACCCACAGCTTCCTGCACTGGAAACGTATCGTCAGCAGTGGGTAAGACTAAAAAAGAAACTCATATTCTAATCAATACAAATGTTGGATGTAAGATTCCTAATTCACATGTTACTTATTTTTACGTCATTGTTATTAATCCATATTTTTTTGTTAGTTGAAATGTTTTTCATATGACATGGCAAACACATACATTTGAATCAGAAAATCTGAAAGGAATTATTTTAACAGAGCAGTTGTTTTATAGTTTGTAACAAATTTGAATTTCTATGTTTAAATATGTCCTTTTGTCAAGATACTGTTATGTGGTGGGTCAAGAAATACGTTTAGCATTATTGTATTATTGTTCTTTCCTTTTTCAAACCGTCGCACTACAGCTCTTCTTTTCCAACTTGATTCCTTCTAACTTATTTACCTCTCATAACTTTTTTGTTTTTACATAGTTGCTGCAAAACTGGCAAAAATCAACTTGCTCTTGTATTGAGAAATGTAATTTTTTATTTAAATGACGACCGTATTTTCTCTTTAAAGAACATTTTAAAAATAGTTTCAAGTAAGAATCAAGTGAAATAATGAATATTTCTACTATAACATTGATGTTTGTGTACATGCCTGCACATAGATAGTGATTTATCTTTAAATTATTTTACACATCAATCATTTCAACTGATCAATTTGTTGCAGACAAAACATAGAAAGTATAAAGTAGGACGTTTAGATATGTTTATCTCTTGTAAAATATCAATCTATATTGTAAGGGTGATAACTATTGCAGATTGCAAGTTTTCCATTCTTATTTAAGTTTACATTTTAAAGAAAAGTACACACTGGAAGGCTGGAATGCTTTTTGTTTGTAGTTCTGACTTTTTCTAAAAAGTTTCCTGTGTGGTCCCGGAGGTGCAGAGAGGAAGATGATATGTTTAGAATCACCAGAAACTGAAGAAACGTTGGTTTGAAACGACGACATATTCAGAAGCCTTTCTGTTTAACACAAGCACACTATCCTTTCCACATGGCTGAGTGATGTCTTTATCCAAATTGATTGAATTAATTGATGTGATCTACAGTATCTCATCAAAAGAGAAGCAAATATAGTCAACAAAATGATATAATATGAAATAGTAACATTTATTATTCTTATACAGCAAAACCAAACAAAAACGTCTTATTTTTAATATGTGACATTTTGTCATTTACAATCACTAAAAGCTTTAATGTTTGTTATAATAACACATGTTATTGAAATTAAACTGTTTTGGACTATTTATCTAATGAGTTTACAAGTCATGTGATAACTAGATAATTGTCACGGCGAGGTCCCGCCTCCTGGCGGTATCATGTGGAGGGGCGTGGCTCCAAACTGAAGCTCATTCAGACTCCCTGATTACAGGTCACTTCACCTGCTCTGGCAACCGAGCTGCCTTCAATCTACAAATCACCTTGCAGTGTATCTGTCAGCCTGTTGGGAATGTGTGTGTGAATGTAATGTGTGTTTCTGGTTTGCGGTGACTAGTGTGCTGTGACATTTATTGATTGCTGTGTCATTTATGTGATTGCTGTGATCTTGTATGCTCACTGTGTATTGTGTGATCTTTTACTTTAGTGTGCACCGTGTGAGTTACATGGACTACTGTTCCCCACACAGACGTCCTATTGGACTAACAAATCCCTCTATCGCTTTCACCGGGACTAATTACCTGGACAATTAGTAACCAACCCATCTACGGGATCGAGGGGCAAAAAAGAGGAGTATAAAAAAGAGGAAGCTGCTGACTTATGGGAACACGGCCGGGACAACGAGACGGTGGCGAACGGACCGACCAACCGACCGACCTCCGTCGTGAGGGGGCATCGGCCACGACGTCCCACCACGTTCTCTACAGTCCACACTGAACAGAGCACGGCTGGATTGACTGCAAATGGATCCCAGCTGTCTGACAGCTCGTGACTGGACTTTCCTGGTGGACCTTTAACTTATTGGAAGACTGCTTTTAAAATATAAATTATCTTCAATGTTTTGATACTAAATAAAAGTATTTTTATGCATATCTCTCTTGTGGTACTTCTGTGTCCTGAGCAAATTTAAGGAGGAGCGATACGGCTGATGTTTCTACCCCGGTTACTCAGCCACTCGTCGCCAGGTTGTTGTTTGACTGACCTGGTAGTGACTACGCTTGGCTGCTCTGTTGATGAGCGTCTCAGAGATATTGGTTTTGTCACACTCACCTGCCAGCTCGATTGTCCACACCTGCCCCGCATCCACAATCAGTCACTCTCCTGCCTTCCACACCTGCTTCGCATTCACAATCAGCCCCGCTACATAAGCACTGCACACCCAGCCTGTCATTGCCAGATTGTTCTTCGCGTCATGCAAGTCTCTCCAGCACTCTACCTCGGACTGATCTCCCGGTTTCGACCCTGCCTGTTCCCGACCCGTTCGTCTGTCTCCGCCCCGGTGAGCACGTCAGCCTTCTGTCCCCGCCCACGAGTCCTGCCTGAGCGCCTCGGGTTTCTGTTGCCTGCCCCTTGGACGGCCCGGCGCTTCTGCCCTTGTGCTCCGGATCCCCAACCGGCCCAGCGATCGCACCAGCTGTCTCCCGGCATCTCCTCCCCGATCCTGAGGACCGCACTCTGCTCTGCCTCTCATTGTGCCCGAACGCCTGCTGTGCGGCTGTGTTCAAATAAAGCGTTAACCAAACACTCCGTGCCGTTGTGCTGCATTTGGCTCCGCCACACGCCCGTGTCAGGTTTATTGTTTTTCAGTGGCAAGCTTCTTCTTTATGTTCGAAGCAAACAAGATATATTAATACTTTGTAATACTTTGTGCTAAAGAAACAGAGACAGGCATCGAGGTCCCAGACCTGAGGCAAAACTCACAAGACAATTCTATCACACATCTTATTAGATTCAGGACGAGGGCCGGAGGAATCCACACCTTCTCCTCCCTCCATGCAGCTTTGGTACACATAGACTGATGGGATCAAAGAGGAGACAGTTCACACACAGCTGGTGCTGTGGAACTTCCTCACAATTAAACTCATGATTAGCTTCAGACATTAATCTAATAAAACATTATGGCATCATTATATTTTACCATTACAAAATGTATTAGCATACAATTGAAGTGAACAGGAGACAAATATTCAGCAGGGTTTTTGTTTGTAATCGAGAACAAAGGTGACATGAGGGTTCAGTGTTAACGGAGATGCGTTTTGGACGTCAAATTAAATGGTGCCGACCTTCTTTACTTGCAAATATCTTTAAAACAGCTATTTATTTTCAGTGAGATAGTATAGTTGCTGCCTATGATGACAATTAACTTTGAATAAACTTCTAGATTATTTAGTCCAACCTTCCATTTTCTCCCCCTGGTTCCAACAATTAACACTATAGGGGGATTTTAAAAATACTTAATGGCGATTCACAATACTTTGTATCAGTGACTGATACAGTGGGGGGAGTTTTTGTACAGTTCTGTGGCTTCCTGTATCACTGTGGCCTCCGAGCACAATAATAAACAGCAGAGTCTTCAGTGGTCAGACTGTTCATCTGCAGAGACACCTGGTCCACGGCGTTGTCTCTGGAAATGGTGAAACGATTCAAGACAGACGTGGAATAATATTTACTGCTTCCACTCGGAGAAGAAATGAAAGCAATCCACTCCAGTCCTTTTCCTTCAGCTTGTCTGATCCAGCTGATAGCAGCATCATCATCTGATATTCCTGCATAGGTACAGGTCAGTTTATGGGATTCTGACTCACTCAGAGTCTGACTGGAAACGCCTGCAGAGAAATCATTAATCAGTACAGAACTAATCACGCAAACATCAAGTGATTTCCAACTATATGAAGTGACAGAATGAGTGAAAATCTTCACCTGCCCAGCAGAGAGTTAAAAGCAGCAGTCCTGTCCTGCAGCGCCTCATGTTTAACTGTGTGTGTCCACTGCTCTCTTTCCTCCTCTTGTAGGTAGAAGACATCTGAGTTTTGCATTGACTCCTCCTCTCAGGGAGCAGAGAACTAGCTGCCGACAAAGGGAGAGCTTCTTCTTCCATGGAGTCATGTTGCAGAGCAGCAGAACAGACACACTTGACATGAGAACATTTTGTGTCTCTATATTAAATGGAGGTCGTGATGGGTACGACTCTCAGTATTAAACAGGCACGAGTTATAAAAAGTTAATGGTTCCTTTTACTGGTACTTTTTAATATTTGGCTACAACAAGAATCTCTGCTGTTCTTTGTGTACACACAGACACACAGAAAGACACACACACACACACACACACACACACTTGCAGTGGAGACATCAAGGTGAACCAGGTGAGGTAAAGATTAATCCAGTTGATGAGCGCTTTGCTTGATACTGTTATTGTTGTTACTTTTACTTACTGCAATGAATAAAAAGTCAACACTTTATTAATAAGTATTTTCAACAAGGATGAACATGTTTTACATTTGAAACACATTTGTTGTATTTCAACAAAATTATTTTATAAAATTCCCTGCTGGCTGAGCCAAAGCAGTCAGGAGTGAAGTAGAAGAGGAAACAATCTGATGTCTGTGTTCTTCATTTGATTATTATAATTTATGTACTTGACTCAGACATTTAAGTTTTCTTGACATTTTAGATCATAAAACGGCTTTAAAACAATAGAAACAATACTACCAACAAACAATATGGTGTATTTATTGCATTTATGTTATGAATACATTTTTATCCTGTTTTGAATTCATTTGTTTATTTTTCATGTGTTTTAAAAAGCAATTTTTGACATCATGAAGATATTAAATAGATTAAAGTACTTTTGCAGTTTGTGAGAAAACCCAAATGTCCCCAAGTTGCTGTTTGTTGTCTGTGGATGTTTTTGTTCAGCTGCTCCGCTGTCTTCAGTCACTGTGTGTCGAGCACAGAAGTAAACAGCTGAGTCTTCTGCTGTCAGGCTCGTGACCTCGAGGTACTGAGTGCTCTTGGGCACATCTTCAGTCATGATGAAACGGCTTTGGAAGGAGCTGCTGTAGATAGCAGAGTTGCTGCCTGTGTCCATCCTCCCAATCCACTCCAGAGCATTTCCTGGCCTCTGTCGTATCCAGTGAATGTTGTAGCTTGTCATACTATAACCTGACGTGATACACGACATCTTCACTTTCTCTCCAGGTTTCTTCACCTCGGAGGGAGACTGTTCCAGTTTGATCTCACTCCAAACTCCTGTAAGAAAAGACATTGTAATCAGCACACCTCACAGGTGAGATAAGTGAGTGTCTTCACTGTGTTAAAGCAGAAATTGTTCTCACCATTAATAGTAACTATGAAGAACAGACTCCAGGAAATCATATTTTCCATTATGTTATTAACACTTCATCCACTGCTTTCTGCTCTGAATGTTTTCAAGATATATTAGAAGCCCAGTTGCTCCGTCATCAATGACATGAGAGCTGCATACGGCATTATTTTAAGGAAGGAACAATTTGCATGCACCTCCCTCAACAGGTTTCAAAAGACAAAATGGAAAGCAGGTGAACTCAAATAAATACACAACAGCCAAAGCAGAGTGAAGTAAAAGATCTAAATTCCTGACAACTATTCATAATGTAAACATATTTGTGTTACAGGAAAAGCAAAAACATATTTTTATAATGTATTTATTTAAATGTGTTTGACAGTGTGTGGGTGAGTCACACGGTTGCTGGTACTTGTGCAGGTCTGTTGGTGGTTTGTATCTCTGAGGGATAACGCACACAGCAACACACAGCTGTGTCCTCACTTTGATCATTCTGTCCTTTTAAAGTCACTGTTGGAGGCAGAAGTGTCTCTGCTGGAGATCAACTTATTCTTCATAGCATCATTTTGATAAAGGACACGTTTATATGGCACAGGTCAGACATTTACAAAAAGAAATAGCAAAACAAATAATTGACTCCAAATGATTGTATTTTATTTTGTAGGATACATACTAAAGTTCAGGTTATTTATCATTTGGGTGTTTCAGAGTTAAATAATGAATACAATAGTTTCCTCTACGACAAGTCGGAGCAAGGACCCTAATAATAAAACTCAGATCAGAGCGTAGAACTTAAAATCTGAAGAAAAAATTATTTTCCTTGCTTGTAAAATTTAATGTAGGGCAGTTAATAAACGTGTTATGACTTTTCTTAAATATATAGAATAGCATATTAGTAATTGTAACGTGTAGGTATTTAAACTGATGTCACAGTGAGCTGGTGGTGAAATCATTGGTGGTCTGAGGACTCCTCCTCTGGTGGCTTTGTGTTACAAGTGTTCAGGCACTGAGAGGTTTTTGTTCAGCTGTACTGATGGTTTGTGTCACTGTGCGTCTCTAGCACAGTAATACACTGCGCTGTCCTCAGTCTTCAGACTGTTCATCTGTAGATACAGTTTACTGCTGGAGTCATCTCTGGAGATGGTGAATCTACCCTTGACTGATGGGGAGTAATAGATAGGAGAACTAGATGTGCCGATGTAAGCGATCCACTCCAGTCCTTTTCCAGGAGCCTGTCTGATCCAGTGCATCCAGTAGCTGCTGAATGTGAATCCAGATGTTGTACAAGTCAACCTGTGAGATTCTTCAGGCCTTTTAATCACTGCTTCAGATTGTGTCAGAGTCTGACCATCAACACCTGTCAAGAGAAGAAGATATGCATGTCATGTGTTACGTTAACAGCAAGTGGAAACGTGTGAAATCAAGATCAGAGAAATTCTTCACCTGCGCAGAAGACAGTTAAAAGCAGCAGTCCTGTCCTAAAGTCCCTCATGGTTAACTGTGTGTCCACTGTCCTCTGTCCTCCTCTCTGCAGCCACATAAGTAGAGGAGAAAGACATCTGAGTTTTGCATTGACTCCTCCTCTCTGATTGAACTGTGTCCTTGTTTTACTGTTAGTCACTTTATAACATTTGAATATGTTTCACACTCAGAGGATTCTGTCTAATGTAACACAAGATCACTTTAATTGGAGAATCAAATCTCTATAGTGAAGTCCTCTCACTGAGGTGGTTTACAACTAACAGTAAAAATGTAATAATGAAGATATTATCAGGATCGTCAGGATCCGAACCTGTGTCTCCGTGTAGCAGGCGGGTTGCCTACCACTGCACTACGAGTGATGATGACTCAGATGCAGAGACAGAGAGAGACGAGTTGTTGGTAGGGAATAAAAAAAGGTTTCTTTACTTGAATAAAGCAGAGGATTGCAGAAGGTTTGACAGCAACTCAAAAATACTTCCAGACAACTAAAAACAAAGTCTGGGAAATTAACAAGGTAACTAAGGGTGTCCAAAAGAGAGGCAACAAAAAGATCTCAAGAACAAAAAAAATATTAACAGAGGTAAAGGTGTCAAGGTGTCAACTTCCAAGACTCAGCAAACAAAAGGACACTCGGGTGGCTTTAAAGGCTAGGAAATAAAGCACAGGTGAACACAATGAAAACATTTAAGACAACAAACATGTGACAGGAATAACTGGAACACTGAGGACCCCTCATGGTCCTTCAGGGTACTGCAGTCCAAAGACCCTGACAGATATTGTTTCTCTCTCAGAGCCCAGGGAGTAAATGTTTGTCTCATCGTATCATCCTGTATTGAATCATCTTTTACCACAATGTCTCATAAGAAAAAGACTAAACAGCAGCTCCCTCACTCTTCCAGCTTTTTATATTCACATCTATAGTGACCTGAAATGTTTAATCCAATAAATCCGCCATCACTTATTATCCAGCAGTAAGCAATGTTCTTATTTTGTGTTATACGGTGACCTTACTTAGATTTCAAATATGAGTTATATTAAAGTGGCTGAGATGTGTTCATATAATGTTCCTTTTTTCCAGACATATCATCTAAACACAGTGACATACCTTTCAAGTTCAAATTGGGATTTTGTTATGATAGGAATAGAATTTTATGCATTGGTTTTGAAAATATGCTAAGTGTTACGTACCCAGAAATCTGGGTTCATATAATGATTCCAATTCGGGGATTACTTGTAGTTGCGTGTGTGTGTGTGTGTGTGTGTGTGTTTTCCAGATGGGATTGGGACCCGAAGCTCCACCCCCCTCGTCAGTGGTTGCTGCTGGCTGGGCTCTTTAAAAAGCCCAGTTCTGGACCAGTTTGCGCGCTGCATGCTCGCTGCATATTCCCATATGTTGCCTTTGGTTTGTACCCTGTGTGATTAGATTTTCAGATGTTATTAGATTTAAATAACTTGTGTTCCTTTTGGAACGTGTAGCAGGAGGAGGGAGAAATTGTTGGTTAGGTCATTTTACTAATATTTGTTCCTCTTTGGTCACAGAGAGTGGGAAAGTAGATTTAGAGCTACCCCGGGTATACATCACCCGTAGGTTTACTTCTCTGTCTAGAAACACCAGTTTAGACCTGAGCGGACCACCACCTGTAAGTTTGGTTAGGGCGCCTTGACCGTGTGCCAGGTAGAGATTGTGTTTTCAATTGGGGGTTAGTACAGGTTAGGGGTGGGGACCTTTTTGTTTATTTCTTTGTTTTGGTCTGGCCAGCCCTCCCCTTTTCCCAGAAAGTTATTGTTTATGTGTATTTATTTTGTTAGATAAAAGCGTTATACTGTATTTGGTGTTTGTCCTTTTCTCGCACCGCGACTCCATACCCCTTTTGCTCGCAAAACTCAAACTTTGAAGAAAAATTATTTTCATTGCTTGTAAAATTCAATCTAAGGCAATTAATAAACGTGTTATGAACGTTTTTTAATATAGAGAACAGCATATTAGTAATTGTAGGTATTTAAACTGATGTCACAGTGAGCTGGTGGTGAAATTATTGGTGGTCTGAGGACTCCTCCTCTGGTGGCTTTGTGTTACAAGTGTTCAGGCACTGAGAGGTTTTTGTTCAGCTGTACTGATGGTTTGTGTTACTGTGGGTCTCTAGCACAGTAATACACAGTCGTGTCTCCAGGCTGCACATTCTGTCCGTTTAGAGTCACTGTTTTACTGGAAGCATCTAAGTTGATACTAAACTTGCTCTTCAATGAATCTTTGTAGTATGTGGTGTATCCAACACGGCCACTTCCAATCCATTCCAGTCCTTTCCCTGCAGGCTGTCTGATCCATGCTGTCCAGTAGCTGCTCAGACTATAAGAAACCTGACAGGTGATGGTCAGACGTTGACCGGGCTGCACAGTCACAGAGGCCGGCTGCGTCAACTGCTCACATTTAAAGGCTGTTAAAAAAAAGATTTTTCTTTAATATCAAGTTATACAAGAAGAACGAATGACTTTGATGAATCAAGAGGAACTTACATCCAGCTGCCAACAGCAGCAGCAGAGCTATTGAGAACATGGTGATGTTGAAACTGACGAGCTGTGAACTCAACAGACTGATGGGATGTTTTTATAGCTGACCAACAAGGAAGCTACCTGAGTTTGCATGGGATCACATATATGAAACTTCAACGTTGGTCTAACTGGAGCCAGTTGGACAGTCTCTCCATCTGTTCATTATATCTGCACAGTGAAAACGTGCTTTGAACTCACCTCTGAGCACAAATAAAAACCATTTAGCTGCATTTACAGAACTTACACAGCAGTCAACTAAGAAACTCTCAATTATTTTATAATTGCAAACAAAGATAAGTTGTTGCATGTTTTCAAATTATTAAATAAAATTCAAGTATGATATCAACTGTTTTTGTGCCGGCGCCTTTCACCATTCATGATTGACTCTAAAGTACACGAGTAGAGATTATTTCATTTTTTATTCATTAATTTGCGTTAGCAAGGACACATAAATAGCATGATTGTAACGGTTCTGGGGCGGCGGAGTGACTCGAGAGCAGAGAGAAACCTGAGAGACGAGTGAAGGTAGTGGACAGGTGAACGTAGGTGTAGTGAATAAGGAATCAGGAGGAACACGAGGACAGGAACGGAAAAGACAGATGGGGTTAGTGATACAAGGAACAGGAAACACACACAAGATTAACTCCCCAAAACACTTTCTTTATATTCCACATAATGTAAAGTCGTTATTGTCTCTCAGTTTGTAGAAAGTCAAAGTATTTCTTCATTAACTTTTAATCAATGTAGCTGGTGACGTAAGCTGCTCGCACTCGCTGTGTCAACTTTTCCCATTTGACACATTTTTTTTACACCACCAATATTGCAGTTTCAAAAGTGCTAGAGAAAGATTTGAATGGTTATAGTTGTGGAGTTTACACAAATGAAGTGAGAGAGAGATAATCTATATTCCTCTACATGAATATTTGAATTTACTGCAGCTGCTTTTTAGACTTCTACGGTTTCGGTATTTAAATCTCACCAATTTGAAGCCACAGACATACAGAGAAACATGGAGCCTCAAGAAGAAATGAGCTATTTAGGAAGTGAAACCTGAGACATGCAAAGATAACCGTTGGCAGTGGTAAGAGGACACACATCTGCTGGCATGTCATGTCCAAGAAGCGGTGCCAGTCAGGTCGTCTCGTGTCTCTGTTGTCTTGTGATTAACCTTCCTCTCGTTTCAGGCAACGTGCTCCTTCCCCCTGTGTGTCGGTCCCATTGTCTGTCCTGCCCCTGATAGTGTCCCTCTGTGTCCTCACCCTGTGTGTGAATATTGTCTGCGTCTCCCTTTGTCCTGGGCCAGTTGGTCTTGTCCCATGTTACAGAGAACCCGCGTGTACCAACGTCCTTTGACAAGTTTTGCTACGTTCTTTGTACCTTGTTCAGGCTCGCTTTCTGTTGGTTCCTTTTTCAGCCTAGCGTTTATTTTCTAGATCCTTTTGGTTCTTAGCTTTAGTACAGGGTTTCTTCCTCTGCCGACAGTGACTTTCATTGTTGCCTTTTGTGAATAAACTTTGATTTTGAACCTCGTCTCAGGAGTCGTGCATTTGAGTTCAGGGCCGTTGTTCAGTCGTGACAATTAACAACATATTTTTTATTTATTAGTTTGTCATAGCTTAGATTAGTTAATAATATAATGGAAAATGAATGTTATATATATATTATATAATTATATGTATATATATATATATATATATATATGTATTGTTACATTTAGAATGTGCATCATTTTAATAAAATAATAAGCACTATCTTCATTATATCTGTGGTTCAGCACAAGTGACACTGAGACGTCTGAATGTTCCCAGTGGTCGAGGTGAATAGAGGAAGTAGTTTTTGAACAGCTCTCTCATCGTTGTCTCTCACTGTGGGTCTCTAGCACAGTAATACACTGCGCTGTCCTCAGTCTTCAGACTGTTCATCTGTAGATACAGTTTACTGCTGGAGTCATCTCTGGAGATGGTGAATCTACCCTTGACTGATGGGGAGTAATTGATAGGAGAACTAGATCTGCCGATGTAAGCGATCCACTCCAGTCCTTTTCCAGGAGCCTGTCTGATCCAGTGCATCCAGTAGCTGCTGAATGTGAATCCAGATGTTGTACAAGTCAACCTGTGAGATTCTTCAGGCCTTTTAATCACTGCTTCAGATTGTGTCAGAGTCTGACCATCAACACCTGTCAAGAGAAGAAGATATGCATGTCATGTGTTACGTTAACAGCAAGTGGAAACGTGTGAAATCAAGATCAGAGAAATTCTTCACCTGCGCAGAAGACAGTTAAAAGCAGCAGTCCTGTCCTAAAGTCCTTCATGGTTAACTGTGTGTCCACTGTCCTCTGTCCTCCTCTCTGCAGCCACATAAGTAGAGGAGAAAGACATCTGAGTTTTGCATTGACTCCTCCTCTCTGATTGAACAGTGTCCTCTGTCCTTGTTTTACTGTTAGTCACTTTATAACATTTGAATATGTTTCACACTGTGAGGATTCTGTCTAATGTAACATGAGATAGTGTAGAAAATATGAAGACTTTTATACAAAGCTTTCACTTTAATTGGAGAAAAAAAATCTCTCTACAGTGAAGTCCTCTCACTGAGTTGGTTTACAACTAAGAGAGTAACAATGTAATAAGATATTATCAGGATCGTCGGGATCCGAACCTGTGTCTCCGTGTAGCAGGCGGGTTGCCTACCACTGCACTACGAGTGATGATGACTCAGATGCAGAGACAGAGAGAGACGAGTTGTTGGTAGGGAATAAAAAAAGGTTTCTTTACTTGAATAAAGCAGAGGATTGCAGAAGGTTTGACAGCAACTCAAAAATACTTCCGGACAACTAAAAACAAAGTCTGGGAAATTAACAAGGTAACTAAGGGTGTCCAAAAGAGAGGCAACAAAAAGATCTCAAGAACCAAAAAAGGATTAACAGAGGTAAATAATATAGGCAGAGGTTCTTTTAGCAACTCACGTGACTAAGCTCAAGGTGTCAACTTCCAAGACTCAGCAAACACAAGGAAACTCAGGTGGCTTTTAAAGGCTAGCAAATAATGCACAGGTTAACACCATGAAAAAAAAAGACCTGTAATGAAAACAATCAAGACAGGACACATGTGACAGGAATAACTGGAACACTGAGGACCCCTCATGGTCCTTCAGGGTACTGCAGTCCAAAAACCCTGACAGATATTGTTTCTCTCTCAGAGCCCAGGGAGTAAATATTTGTCTCATCGTATCATCCTGTATTGAATCATCTTTCATCACAATTTCTCATGAGAAAAAGACTAAACAGCAGCTCCCTCAGTCTTCCAGCTGTTTATATTTACATCTGTAGTGACCTGAAATGTTTAATCCAATAAAGCTGCCATCACTTATTATCCAGCAATAAAAATGTTCTTATTTTGTGTTATAAGGTGACCTAATGTAGATGTCAAATATGAGTTATACTAAAGTGGCTGAGATGTGTTCATATAATGTTCCTTTTTTCCAGACATATCATTTAAACACAGTGACATACTTTTCAAAGTTGGGATTTTGTTATGATAGGAACAGAATTTCATGCATTAGTTTCAAAAATATGCTAAGTTTTGGTTGTTAGCGTCTAATTCAACATCTGAAGAAAACTCTAATAAATCATCTTTATTGCTTGTAAAATTCAATGTATGCCAATTAATAATCGTGTCATCAACTTTTTATTCAGGAAATATATATTCAATAGCATATTAGTAATTGTAACGTGTAGGTATTTAAACTGATGTCACAGTGAGCTGGTGGTGAAATCATTGGTGGTCTGAGGACTCCTCCTCTGGTGGCTTTGTGTTACAAGTGTTCAGGCACTGAGAGGTTTTTGTTCAGCTGTACTGATGGTTTGTGTTACTGTGGGTCTCTAGCACAGTAATACACAGCCGTGTCCTCAGTCTTCAGACTGTTCATCTGTAGATAGAGTTTACTGCTGGAGTCATCTCTGGAGATGGTGAATCTACCCTTGACTGATGGGGAGTAATAGATAGAAGAACTAGATGTGCTGATGAAAGCGATCCACTCCAGTCCTTTTCCAGGAGCCTGTCTGATCCAGTTCATCCAGTAGCTGCTGAATGTGAATCCAGATGTTGTACAAGTCAACCTGTGAGATTCTTCAGGCCTTTTAATCACTGCTTCAGATTGTGTCAGAGTCTGACCATCAACACCTGTCAAGAGAAGAAGATATGCATGTCATGTGTTACGTTAACAGCAAGTGGAAACGTGTGAAATCAAGATCAGAGAAATTCTTCACCTGCGCAGAAGACAGTTAAAAGCAGCAGTCCTGTCCTAAAGTCCCTCGTGGTTAACTGTGTGTCCACTGTCCTCTGTCCTCCTCTCTGCAGCCACATAAGTAGAGGAGAAAGACATCTGAGTTTTGCATTGACTCCTCCTCTCTGATTGAACAGTGTCCTCTGTCCTTGTTTTACTGTTAGTCACTTTATAACATTTGAATATGTTTCACACTCAGAGGATTCTGTCTAATGTAACACAAGATAATCTTGAAAATATGAAGACTCTATTATACAAAGCTATTTTAAGCAAAGCTTTCACTTTAATTGGATAAAAAATCACGCTATAGTAAAGTCCTCTCACTGAGGTGGTTTACAACTATGAGAGTAAAAATGTAATAACGAGGATATTGTTTTCCTCTGATAATCAAAAATGTTTTTCCCACTGCTCATTTAGGGAGTCACTGTCTCATCCTGGTTGAGCAGTGAAAGGTCAGAGGGCAAAAGCTGATAAGGATGAGAGTGAGAGACACACCAATCACCTTACAACCCTCACGCTTTGATAGTTATGTTTACATTAATGTTAGGAAACCACACATTGTGTGATTGGATCTTGACCCGCTCATCCTCGACCCCAGTTTAGGGCCAAAATAATTATTTTTTTTATCCAGCGGCCAGCAGCAGCAGTAGAGCTACAGAGAACATGTTGGTGTGGAGGTTGATCTGATGGGAGCTTCTCCTCTTCTGCTGCGACTGACAGCGTGATATCAAGTCTTTAAAGGAGACTGTGAGGAAGTTTACTTTGCATATAGAAGGAGGCTATAAAAGAGGGATGAAGTGTTCTGTCACAGCAGACCAAAGCCTGGAATAGTGTCACACACACGTGACACGAGAAAGAAGATGTATTTATTATTTTATGCAATAACTTAAAGGGAACTCTCTTATTCCTACAAAAGAAATTCTACCAACGCAGTCATGTCAAAGTAACAGATCTGTATTGATGAACATATTATTAAATATTTGGGTAAACAAAATATGAAGTTTCATTGAGACTTTGATTTACTGAGTGTGTTTATGTTTAACTTCAGAATATTCAAAAATAAAGCAAGATTTAGACTTCGTTGATGTGTCAAGTATTTAATATGCTCCTATAGTTTGTGTTATTGTGGGTCTCTTCCACAGTGATGGACAGCAGCGTCTTCAGACTGCACATTCTGTCCTTTTAGGGTCACTGTTTTTTAACTAAATATACTTGAAGCAGAATTGTTCACTTGTAGAATAACAGAGAGACTCCAGACATCCAGTTGCAAACAGCAGCAGCACCAGAGATACAGACAACATGATTTATGTTGAAACATTAAAATGTGTAGGAAAATTGGTGGCAAAAAAAGACAAGTGTTTACTTAAGGGATTTATGGATGGATGGAATGCTCATTATATGTTCCTGTCCTGTTTTGAATGTAATTTTAAAAGCAATTATTACAACATAGTATTATAAGAGTAGCTCCACAGTATTACAAACGTAAAAATACTTATCCCAACCAGAGAGCCACTTGGAAACTGATGATCATATCATTTATAGTTTATGGCATCAGTAATACAGAATTTATTCATGCTTTTACAGTTAAAAAACACTTTATATAACTGTGAGTGATTTGACATCATGAAGATAATACATATTTAGCCATGGCTTTTAAATACAATAAAGGGGATAAATATTAAAGTATTTTTGCAGTTTGTGAGAAAATCCAAATGTCCCCAAGTTGCTGTTTGTTGTCTGTGGATGTTTTTGTTCAGCTGCTCCGCTGTCTTCAGTCACTGTGTGTCGAGCACAGAAGTAAACAGCTGAGTCTTCTGCTGTCAGGCTCGTGACCTCGAGGTACTGAGTGCTCTTGGACACATCTTCAGTCATGATGAAACGGCTTTGGAAGGAGCTGCTGAAGGTAGCAGAGTTGCTGCCTGCGTCCATCCTCCCAATCCACTCCAGAGCATTTCCTGGCCTCTGTCGTATCCAGTGAATGTAGTGGTCTGTCATACTATAACCTGACGTGATACACGACATCTTCACTTTCTCTCCAGGTTTCTTCACCTCGGAGGGAGACTGTTCGTGTTTGATTTCACTCCAAACTCCTGTAAGAAAAGACATTGTGATCAGCACACCTCACAGGTGAGATAAGTGAGTGTCTTCACTGTGTTAAAGCAGAAATTGTTCTCACCATTAATAGTAACTATGAAGAACAGACTCCAGGAAATCATATTTTCCATTATGTTATTAACACTTCATCCACTGCTTTCTGCTCTGAATGTTTTCAAGATATATTAGAAGCCCAGTTGCTCCGTCATCAATGACATGAGAGCTGCATACGGCATTATTTTAAGGAAGGAACAATTTGCATGCACCTCCCTCAACAGGTTTCAAAAGACCAAATGGAAAGCAGGTGAACTCAAATAAATACACAACAGCCAAAGCAGAGTGAAGTAAAAGATCTTAATTCCTGACAACTATTCATAATGTAAAAATATGTGTGTTACAGGAAAAGCAAAACCATATTTTTATAATGTATTTATTTAAATGTGTTTGACAGCGTGTGGGTGAGTCACATGGTTGCTGGTACTTGTGCAGGTCTGTTGGTGGTTTGTATCTCTGAGGGATAACGCACACAGCAACACACAGCTGTGTCCTCAGTTTGATCATTCTGTCCTTTTAAAGTCACTGTTGGAGGCAGAAGTGTCTCTGCTGGAGATTAACTTATTCTTCATAGCATCATTTTGACAAAGGACACGTTTATATGGCACAGGTCAGAGATTTACATAAAGAAATAGCAAAACAAATAATTGACTCCAAATGATTGTATTTTATTTTGTGTGATACATACTAAAGTTCAGGTTATTTATCATTTGAGTGTTTCAGAAATAAATATTAAATACAATAGGTTCCTTTACGACAAGTCGGAGCAAGGACCCTAATAATAAAACTCAGATCAGAGCGTAGAACTCAAAATCAGAAGAAAAAATTATTTTCCTTGCTTGTAAAATTCAATGTGGGGCAATTAATAAACGTGTTATGAATTTTCTTAAATATATAGAATAGCATATTAGTAATTGTAACATGTAGGTATTTAAACTGATGTCACAGTGAGCTGGTGGTGAAATCATTGGTGGTCTGAGGACTCCTCCTCTGGTGGCTTTGTGTTACAAGTGTTCAGGCACTGAGAGGTTTTTGTTCAGCTGTACTGATGGTTTGTGTCACTGTGGGTCTCTAGCACAGTAATACACTGCGCTGTCCTCAGTCTTCAGACTGTTCATCTGTAGATACAGTTTACTGCTGGAGTCATCTCTGGAGATGGTGAATCTACCCTTGACTGAAGGGGAGTAATAGATAGGAGAACTATCTGTGTGAATGAAAGCGATCCACTCCAGTCCTTTTCCAGGAGCCTGTCTGATCCAGTTCATCACAGAGCTACTGAATGTGAATCCAGATGTTGTACAAGTCAACCTGTGAGATTCTTCAGGCCTTTTAATCACTGCTTCAGATTGTGTCAGAGTCTGACCATCAACACCTGTCAAGAGAAGAAGATATGCATGTCATGTGTTACGTTAACAGCAAGTGGAAACGTGTGAAATCAAGATCAGAGAAATTCTTCACCTGCGCAGAAGACAGTTAAAAGCAGCAGTCCTGTCCTAAAGTCCCTCATGGTTAACTGTGTGTCCACTGTCCTCTGTCCTCCTCTCTGCAGCCACATAAGTAGAGGAGAAAGACATCTGAGTTTTGCATTGACTCCTCCTCTCTGATTGAACAGTGTCCTCTGTCCTTGTTTATATCATTAGAATATGTTTCACACTCAGAGGATTCTGTCTAATGTAACACAAGATAATCAGGAAAATATGAAGACTCTATTATACAAAGCTATCTTAAGCAAAGCTTTCACTTTAATTGGATACAAAATGACTCTATAGTGAAGTCCTCTCACTGAGGTGGTTTACAACTATGAGAGTAAAAATGTAATAACGAGGATATTGTTTTCCTCTGATAATCAAAAACTTTTTTCCCACTGCTCATTTAGGGAGTCACTGTCTCATCCTGGTTGAGCAGTGAAAGGTCAGAGGGCAAAAGCTGAAGGTGCCAACCAGGCAGACACAGTTCTGATAAGGATGAGAGTGAGAGACACACCAATCACCTTACAACCCTCACGCTTTGTTCGTTATGTTTACATTAATGTTGGGAAACCACACATTGTGTGATTGGATCTTGACCCGCTCATCCTCGACCCCAGTTTAGGGCCAAAATAATTATTTTTTTCGCTATCTAACAATGAACAAAAAAACTATTTTTTTGTGTGTTATAACGAGACCTAATTTAATTGTCAAATAATGAATAAGTTACATTAACGTGGCTGAGATGTGTTCATGTAGTGTTCATTTTAAATTATTCATTTCATTGGAAAACTCCAATAAATTATTTTCATTGCTTGTAAGATTCTATGTATTGCAATTGAAAAACGTTTTTTTTTTGTAAAACTTTTTATTCATTAAATGTTGATAGAATAGCATATTAGTAATTGTAACGTGTAGGTATTTAAAGTGATGTCCCAGTGAGCTGGTGGTGAAATCATTGGTGTTCTGAGGACTCCTCCTCTGGTGGCTTTGTGTTACAAGTGTTCAGGCACTGAGAGGTTTTTGTTCAGCTGTACTGATGGTTTGTGTTACTGTGGGTTTCTAGCACAGTAATACACAGCCGTGTCTCCAGGCTGCACATTCTGTCCGTTTAGAGTCACTGTTTTACTGGAAGCATCTAAGTCGATACTAAACTTGCTCTTCAGTGAATCTTTGTAGTATGTGGTGTATCCAACACGGCCACTTCCAATCAATTCCAGTCCTTTCCCTGCAGGCTCTCTGATCCATGCTGTGCGGTAGCTGCTCGGACTATAAGAAACCTGACAGGTGATGGTCAGACGTTGACCGGGCTGCACAGTCACAGAGGCCGGCTGCGTCAACTGCTCACATTTAGAGCCTGTTAAAAAAAGATTTTTCTTTAATATCAAGTTATACAAGAAGAACGAATGACTAATGAATCAAGAGGAACTTACATCCAGCTGCCAACAGCAGCAGCAGAGCTATTGAAAACATGGTGATGTTGAAACTGACGAGCTGTGAACTCAACAGACTGATGGGATGTTTTTATAGCTGACCAACAAGGAAGCTCTCTGAGTTTGCATGGGATCACATATATGAAACTTCAACGTTGGTCTAACTGGAGCCAGTTGGACTTTCATAATTGAATTTTTTTCAATTAAGAAACTCTCATTATTTTAGAACTGCAAACAAAGATAAGTTGTTGCATGTTTTCAAATTATTAAAGAAAATTCAAGTATGATATTAACTGTTTTTGTGCCGGCGCCTTTCACCATTCATGATTGACTCTAAAGTACATGAGTACAGATTATTTCATTTTTTATTCATTCATTTGCGTTAAACAGGGCACATAAATAGCATGATTGTAACGGTTCTGGGGCGGCGGAGTGACTCAAGAGCAGAGAGAAACCTGAGAGACGAGTGAAGGTAGTGGACAGGTGAACGTAGGTGTAGTGAATAAGGAATCAGGAGGAACACGAGGACAGGAACGGAAAAGACAGGGGTTAGTGACACAAGGAAGAGGAAACACACACATAACATTAACTCCCAAAAACACTTTCTTTATATTCCACATAATGTAAAGTCGTTATTGTGTCTCAGTTTGTAGAAAGTCAACGTATTTGTTGAAGTTCAGTAACCATTTATCAATGTAGCCGGTGACGTAAGCTGCTCGCACTCGCTGTGTCAACTGTTCCCATTGGACCACTTTTAAAAAAGGTTTTTTTTCGCAAATCATGAAGTTATTCTGTCAAGAACAACTGACACAAACTCACATCCAGCTGCCAACAGCAGCAGCAGCAGAGCTTTTTAGAACAAGGTGCATGTTGAAACTGAAAAGACATGAGCTTCTGATGGTTTCAGTGTCATGGGATGTTTTTAATAACTGCTTCACAAGGGAAAATACAATTTCTTTCAGATAGTGTTGTCTCCATTACATCATACACATTAATTTCTTACAAAATCAAAATAGAACTCTATATTTGTTTTTTTTGAGGACATTCATTTCATAACTCACTCAAAGTCCTGCAAGACACCAGTTCCAATAATGCAATTTCAAAAGTGCTAATGAAAGATTTGGATGGTTATCGTTTTGTAATTTACACAAATGAAGTGAGAGCGAGATAATCTAAATTCATCTACATGAATATTTGAATTTGCTGCAGCTGCTTTTTAGACTTCTACGGTTTCGGTATTTAAATATCCCCAATTTGAAGCCACAGACATACAGAGAAACATGGAGCCTCAAGAAAAATGAGCTATTTAGGAAGTGAAACCTGAGACATGCAAAGATAACCGATGGCCGTGGTAAGAGGACACACATCTGCTGGCGTGTCATGTCCAAGAAGCGGCCAGTCAGGTCGCCTCGTGTCTCTGTTGTCTTGTGATTAATGTGAGATTCCAGTAGTGGTGAAACATGTTGTAAACATTTGTCCGGTGCTAAAAGCCAGGTCTCAGTGGTTGACCCTGAGATGGAGAGATAGAAAGATTTAAGGTTTTGGGAAGGGGGTCATCTTGCTCTCACAGACCTTCGATCAGAGGAGCATTGTGTGTTACCCTCAGTTTGAGTTCTTATCTCAACTTGATTTGTGGCTTCTCGTGGCTGGCGCTAAGAACGGTCTTCAAGTGTATAAAAACTCAGTTTTTACTGCTCGGGAACGCCATTACACAGAACGCTGGAATACGTGCTGGTGTGTTGGACCTCCTGCTTGCAAGCAATAGTTAGAGCCAGATATCTGCGGAGAATTGCTCATGTAATCTTTATCTCTTCTAAATAAATGTTAACTTTTTGACTTTAATTGATCAACTTGTTGCGATCCTTCTCATCAACCAACTCGGGGGATCGGAGATCCCGACATTAATGTTCCTCACGTTTCAGCCAACGTGTTCCTTCCCCCTGTGTGCCGGTCCCATTGTCTGTCCTGCCCCTGACAGTGTCCCTCTGTGTCCTCACCCTGTGTGTGTATATTGTCTGCGTCTCCCTTTGTCCTGGGCCAGTTCGTCTTGTCCCATGTTACAGAGAACCCGCGTGTACCAACGTCCTTTGACAAGCTTTGCTACGTTCTTTGTACCTTGTTCAGGCTCGCTTTCTGTTGGTTCCTTTTTCAGCCTAGCGTTTATTTTCTAGATAATTTTGGTTCTTAGATTTAGTACAGGGTTTCTTCCTCTGACGACAGTGATTTTCATTTGTTGCCTTTTGCAAATAAACCTTGATTTTGAACCTCGTCTCAGGAGTCGTGAGACCTGTCATCAGGGCCGTTGTCCAGTCGTGACAATTAACAACATATTTACAACATATTTTTTACTTATTAGTTTGTCATAGCTTAGATTAGTTAGTAATATAATGGGGAATGAATGTTATATATATATATATATATATATATATATATATATATATGTTACATTTAGAATGTGCATCCTTTTAATAAAATAATAAGCACTATCTTCATTATATCTGTGGTTCAGGACAAGTGACACTGAATGTTCTGAATGTTCCCAGTGGTCGAGGTGAATAGAGGAAGTAGTTTTTGAACAGCTCTCTCATCATTGTCTCTCACTGTGCGTCTCTAGCACAGTAATACACTGCGCTGTCCTCAGTCTTCAGACTGTTCATCTGTAGATACAGTTTACTGCTGGGATTATCTCTGGAGATGGTGAATCTACCCTTGACTGATGGGGAGTAATTGATAGTAGAACCAGATGTGCTGATGTAAGCGATCCACTCCAGTCCTTTTCCAGGAGCCTGTCTGATCCAGTGCATCTCGTAGCTGCTGAATGTGAATCCAGATGTTGTACAAGTCAACCTGTGAGATTCTTCAGGCCTTTTAATCACTGCTTCAGATTGTGTCAGAGTCTGACCATCAACACCTGTCAAGAGAAGAAGATATGCATGTCATGTGTTACGTTAACAGCAAGTGGAAACGTGTGAAATCAAGATCAGAGAAATTCTTCACCTGCGCAGAAGACAGTTAAAAGCAGCAGTCCTGTCCTAAAGTCCTTCATGGTTAACTGTGTGTCCACTGTCCTCTGTCCTCCTCTCTGCAGCCACATAAGTAGAGGAGAAAGACATCTGAGTTTTGCATTGACTCCTCCTCTCTGATTGAACAGTGTCCTCTGTCCTTGTTTTACTCTTAGTCACTTTATAACATTTGAATATGTTTCACACTCAGAGGATTCTGTCTAATGTAACACAAGATCATCTAGGAAATATGAAGACTATTATACAGAGCTTTTTGAAGCAGTAAAGTAAATGTTTGTCTTATTGTATCATCTTGTATCATCTTTCATCACAATGTCTCATAGGAAAAAGACTAAACAGCAGCTCAGTCTTCCAGCTGTTTATGTTTACATCTATAGTGAACTGAAATGTTTTATGCAATAAAGCTGCCATCACTTATAATAAAGCAATAAAAATGTTCTTATTTTGTGTCTTAAGGTGACCTAATTTAGTTGTCAAATATGAGTTATATTAAAGTGGCTGAGATGTGTTCATATAATGTTCATTTTTTTCAGACATATAATTTAAAGACAGTGACATACTTTTCAAAGTTGGGATTTTGTTATGATAGGAACAGAACTTTGTGCATTAGTTTCGAAAATAAGTTTTGGTTCTTAGCGTCCAACTCAAAATCTGAAGAAAACTCTAAGAAATCATTTTTATTGCTTGTAAAATTCAATGTATGCCAATTAATAAATGTGTCATCAACTTTTTATTCAGGAAATATATATTCAATAGCATATTAGTGATTGTTAGGTGTAGGTATTTAAAGTGATGTAACAGTGAGCTGGTGGTGAAATCATTGGTGGTCTGAGGACTCCTCCTTTGGTGGCTTTGTGTTACAAGTGTTCAGGCACTGAGAGGTTTTTGTTCAGCTGTACTGATGGTTTGTGTTACTTTGGGTCTCTTGCACAGTAATACACAGCCGTGTCTCCAGGCTGCACATTCTGTCCGTTTAGAGTGACTGTTTTACGGGAAGCATCTAAGTTGATACTAAACTTGCTCTTCAGTGAATCTTTGTAGTATGACGCTCCAGTATGTTTCATTCCAATCCATTCCAGTCCTTTCCCTGCAGGCTGTCTGATCCATGCTGTGTGGTAGCTGCTCATACTATAAGAAATCTGACAGGTGATGGTCAGACGTTGACCGGGCTGCACAGTCACAGAGGCCGGCTGCGTCAACTGCTCACACTTCACACCTGTGGAGGCAAACATGAAATATTGTATCAATGTAATAACAGTGAGCAGTCAGTGTGCTGTGATGTCCATGTCTCTGCCTCAGTGACACTCACAGTATCCAGCGGCCAGCAGCAGCAGTAGAGCTACAGAGAAGATGTTGGTGTGGAGGTTGATCTGATGGGAGCTTCTCCTCTTCTGCTGCGACTGACAGCGTGATATCAAGTCTTTAAAGGAGACTGTGAGGAAGTTTACTTTGCATATAGAAGGAGGCTATAAAAGAGGGATGAACTGTTCTGTCACAGCAGACCAAAGCCTGGAATAGTGTCAAACGCACGTGACACGAGAAAGAAGATGTATTTATTATTTTATGCAATAACTTAAAGGGAACTCTCTTATCCCTACAAAAGAAATTCTACCAACGCAGTCATGTCAAAGTAACAGATCTGTATTTACACTCATCAGAGACTATTTACTGAGTGTGCTGATGTTGAACTTCAGAAAATGCAAAAAGAAAAAGCAATGTTTAGGCTTCTTTGATGTGTAGTATTATATATATATATATATAAGTATTTAATATGCTCCTATAGTTTGTGTTATTGTGGGTCTCTTGCACAGTGATGGACAGCAGTGTCTTCAGACTGCACGTTCTGTCCTTTTAGAGTCACTGTTTTTTAACTAAATATACTTGAAGCAGAATTGTTCTCTCAGAGAATACCAGAGAGACTCCAGACATCCAGTTGCAAACAGCAGCAGCACCAGAGATACAGACATGATTTATGTTGAATATCGGTGGCTTATCCAGTGATGTGCGCCGCCTCTACGCCAATTAGACCTGGTATTAGCTCCACCCCTTCACAACCTTAAAGAAAAAGCCAGTTTACTGAAGGGATATGTGGATGGATGGAATGCTCACTGCATGTTCCTCTAATTGAGCACTTTCAATAGTTATCTGACTTTTTCCAGATGCACATGTATGAAATGTGCAGGTGATCAACATCTTCTATATGCTCTCTCAACATCAACTGTACTGCTCTCAATAACACATTCCTCTCTCTACCTTCACACTCCTTCCCATAAGATCTTTCCTGTGAGGCCAACTTCTAATCCCCATCACCCGGGAACAGTATGTGTTCAAAAAGTTACTCCAAACTTACCTTCTAACACATGTTTAACGTTAACCCACAAAGTAGACATGTGCACACATTTAAAGTGACCCTGTGTGTTTGTATTAATGGGAAAGAGAAGGTATACAAACAATCTCTGTTAGTGCTTTCAACTGACTGCACCTCTGTCTCATAACATCTGGTCAGTGCAGTTTAGACCTCTCAGTATGTTCCAATTAAGACACGACTTCACATCAAGGACACAAATCCCCGCTTCTGTATGTGGAGCTCTGTCTCCCTCTAGTGGTCAATCTGAGTAATACAACGATGCTGATCTTATGACATACTGTATATTTATACTGTATAAACTGTATGAATAGAATAATAGAATAGAACTATTAAAAAGGGTTTATCAGAAAGAAAGAAAAAATAAAGTTAAAACACAGTTGGTGGGTTGTGTTATTGTATAGTTGTATGGCTCTGTGGAGGAATAATTTATACAGTCTATCAGTCCTACATGGCAGCGAGCGCAGTATGTATATGCAGCTTATTTGTGTTACCATCTTTTTATGGAAATAATGTTTATATAATTGAATTTTCTGAGTTTAGATAATTGAATCTTCTGAGTTTGTACCCTATGGTTGAATGCACTTATTGTAAGTCGCTTTGGATAAAAGCGTCAGCTAAATGACATGTAATGTAATGTAATTATTCTTTCATAACGTATGGCAATGAAGCATCCAATGATTTAAACTGTAGATATACTGTATATATGCTCATTTTATAGGTAAGAGAATCTCAAACTCAGAATAAAAGACATACTTGTCACTTTCACATACACTCAAACACAGTTGTGTTCGCCAGTGCACTTTATTTTTACCTTTTTATTTTTAATTGAGTATCCTTTTTTTATCCCCAGCTCTGAGCTTTCTATTTCATTTCAAAGTGTATAGTTGAATTGTAAATTGAACATGCTATTCTATTTGTCTTGTTGTCCAATATCATATTGTCTTACTGTCCGATGTTTTGCACCAACCGTAATGTCAAATTCCTTTTATGTCTAACATATTTCAGGAATCAGGAATAAATGTTCCTGATTCCTGATTAAGGTTTCAAATCCTGTATATATGCAGGCTGTTTGTGTTATGTTTATATAATTGAATTACTCTTTTAGCACATATTGTAATAATGCATCAAATTATGTGATCAGAACAAATTTAATCAGAACCAAAAAGTATGTATTTTATTCATGTATTCTCTTAAACAGATGCACTGCACACATGCACACAACGAACATTTATAACCCTAATCAAGAAACCTGTTACATAACATATAATAGTAATATATGTGAATCACTTAAACTTTAAAACATGAAAAACCAAAACATTATTATATAATGGGATCTGTCCAGGGATCACCATCATTTAGTCTAAAAGGAGAAAGCAAAGGGAATGTGTCAGCATATGATGTAATTTCTTATTCATATTTAAAATATATGTATATATGTGAGTGAAAATATGAAAATATAACAATATTTAAAATAATGTTTATTAGAAATGTGTTACTGAAAGATCACTCACTAAAATAACATTCCAGTACTGTTGTTTCTCACCTTAATCATGGTTGCAGAGACACCGTAGATAAAGGAGACGAGGAATAAAACGAGGAAAGTGAACGCAAAATACCAGCTTTCCACATCTGTGTCCTGGTTCACTTCAGCATGCATGATGTCGTCGAAGAAATCACAGTCCTTCAAGGAGTCTGTGAATGAATGGAAACGTGTAACATGTGTTAGTCTACTGGACTTTGTTCCAGTGGCAGGGGAGCTGCTAAGAGATATTAACCCATTCAACCATGTGTGAAACGGGTGGTTAACATATATGTGCAATCTGTAAAGTTCAAGAAAGACTTGTTGTCAAACTAGCACCTGGTTTAGATACATCCAGGGACAGGCTGATGTTTGCATGTGTCACCCTGCAGGTGATGTTGGCGCCAGGTAACCAGATGACTCGGGACAGATTTAGGTGGCTTTGAATGTTGAACTTTCCATCTGGGCCTCTGTGGGGTTCACTAGTGCTGTAGTCCAACGGTCCCTTGGTGTCATCAAGAAACCAAGTGATGTTAATGGTTGCAGGGCTGAAGCCAAAGACCAGGCACACCAGCTCACCGGAGCCCTGGAGCAAGGTCGCTGAGGGTTTGCTGTGGGTCACTGTGGCTGGAGGAAACAGGGAGGAAAAGTTTTTGTCAATTTTGATTATCTTTATTTTAGCTGACGCAATCGACACTAAAACTGTCTACGATGAAATGAAGTACACCAGTCAACTGTCATTGACTTCATTCTAATCGACAGCTCACCAAAGACATCCTTTATAGTGCTTTTAAAAGGCGTTTCCGATGACTCGTGTCTGACGACACAAGAATACGTAGACTCCTTGTTGTTAGTTGTTGAGATGTTTAGTCTGCTGATCATCGAATACGTGCTGCTCCCGGTGTATTTCCATGTTGGACTGTTGGTGAAGTGAGTTGGAGGGACTCTCTGGTCCTCCTCCTCCCAGTACACTCGGATATCAGACGGGAAGAATCCAGAGACGTGGCAAATAATTGCAAGGGAGTCGGAGGTAGAAAGGTCATCCACAGTTGGTTGTGTTACCTTCACTGTTGGTGGATACAGCTCTTTAGAAGCACAACAAGAAGACAAAAGTAGATCAAGCTTCATATTTTAACCATTTCTAATCTGATCGTTTAATCACTGACAGCTTCCACAAACATCAATGTGATGATTCTGATGCATCTCGCCTACTTAAACTATTTAAACATCTCCACAGATTGAAAAATATCAATGAACAGATGCAAAGAAACAAACCTCTGCTTTTGGTTATATGATCCTCGTGGCCCAGTTTGGAGCATCGGTGCTTTGCCTCACAAGACACTTGTTTAAATTCATTCCAATCCGCCGCTGACACATTGAGGAAGCTCTGCACAGTTTCTGTACCGTTGCTGTGACTCACTGGAAAATCCTCACGGCCATCGTGGGAATGATTGTTCTCACCTACTTTCCAGGTCACGGAGAAATCATTGAGAGACGGACCGACCAGGAGACAGGTGATAGTCACCTGTCCCTTGTTCAGAAGCTCTCCTGGTGTTGGTGCCTGAACATATACGCCAACTATCTGAGATGACGCAGGAGTTACTGAAAAATAAAGAGACGTTGAAATGGCAGAAAAGGCGACACATATGAAGTATGTGAAGAAAAAGGTGTCATGCTTAATGGAAGATGAATTCATTTCTTCTCTGTCTATTAGTTTTCCTTTTACCTGAGCAGAGGCTGATGTTCTTTCTCACATTAGCGTTCAGAGACTTGTCAGATACTTCACACGTGAAGACCTTCCCTGTTCTCCACTCGGTTTGAGGGACGTGGAGATGACTGGTTACCGCCACACGTCCATCTTCACCCATGCTGACGTCATTAGTTGATGGAGATCTCTGCTCGGACTCTGAAGACCACTTAATTTGAGGGTTAAAGCCCCAAGCGAAGCACAGGAGTCTCTGTTGTCCTGAGTCTTCACCGGGGGCCAGAAGAAGTTCCATCGATGGCTCCACTAAATATGAGATCAATCAGTGCTTCGATTAATCAATGAATGGGTCTATTTCTGATCAACTAAGTGTGAAACATAGAATGAACTACCACTAAGGGAATGAAGAGCTTCTCCTCTCACCAAAGAAACTGCCTGTGGAGTTGGACACAAAGCTGTTGGAGAATCCTTGATTCACTTTGCAGGTGAAACTTGCGTCTTTCTTCAATTCACTTGAATGGACTGTGAAACTTCTACTGATTGAAAGGAGGCCTGAGGCTGCAGGAAGTTCAACAAACTGTTTGTCGGAGATGTCGACACCGTTGGCTTGAAAGGTGATGTAGAGGTCACGTGACGAGAGTCTTGTGACATCACACTCCAGCACGGCACCGTCTCCTTTCAGCAGATCTTTCAGAGATCTCCTGATCTCAATCGATGGATCTGTACCTGCAGGCTCTGGATGATACAGACAGAAAAGCCAGCAGGCTTCTTCATTTATGAACCATGCTGTCACATGACGTCTGCTTCTCATGGCGTGTGGTTGTCTCACCTGCGATTTGTACAGTCTTCTTAGCAGATGAGAAGCACTTGTGGTCAGCTTGACATGTTATGGACTTGAGTTGTTTCCATCGACTTGAAGAAACCGTCAGTTCACTGACTAAATGAGTTGACTTGGTGTCCTGTCTCACTGTGCCACCCGCTGTGTCTCTCTCATTCAGCAGCCACGTCACCTTGGCATTAAGAACAGTGCGCACAAAACATGTTGCTTTTACGGGAGATTCTTCCGTCATGACTTTCTTGAAGCTGGGAATCTCCACGTCGATGGAAGGAGGGGCCGTTGCTTCATCTTCAGGGGAAAAAAAACGTTTATAACAGTTTTCATCTTGTAATATTTACATTTGTATATTGTGCTGTGAGACAGTAGACTGACATACTTACATTGACAAATACTTGTGGTCTTCATAAATGTCTGAGTGTTGTGAATAGACGTGCAGGTAAAACTTGAGGCCTGTGCCCACTCTGTCATATTTGGCTCAATCTCACTGCTCAGACTGAAGGTTTTCTCCTTTCCCTCCACACTCTGAAGCTTGCTTTGGATTTGCACGACGTTTAGAGGTTGGTTTTCCTGCTTCCACTCCACACTCAGTTTGTCTGGAAAGAAGCCTTGAATGTTGCAGACGAGTTTGATTGGTGACTTCCCGAATTCACCCTGCCAAACTGGGTGTAACGTGATATTTGGAGAGACAACCCGCTGTCCTGAGATATGGGGGAGAGATTTACATCGTTACTTTCCTCAAGCAGTCAGATGCACATGTTTTAAAAACATGAGCGGACTTCATCCTTTCAGTCGTACATACCTTAAGATCTTGGTCAGGTAACCTGTGTTGTCTTAACTCTAAATCTGGTATCTTTGTATTTAGGCTAGATGGCAGAGT